AAACAACTAAATTATTTAAAATCGGGTTCATATGAAGCAATAATGCAAGTAGAATTAGACAGAAAATATTTTCCATTGATAACTAAATATCTATACTTTTGGCTATTTTTTTACTTGTGCCTAGTTCCGCGCTTCTTCGGGAATTTCAAGCCGCGCTAGCGCGGCCAGAAAAGTTTTATGTACAAAAATATTTAGGCGAGTCAATATTCAACACATAGGAAACCCCTGTAATTTTTTTCAAAAGAATCGGCGGTGGTCGAGCGTCACGCCTGGGACGTTTGTTATGGAATGACCCCTCTGGTTCTTTTAAAAATGCCCGTGTGTCTCGCATAGCCAATCACTGCTTATAGCAAAAAGGAAAGTATGTTTATACCTCAAATTTAAGTGTTCTATGGAACAGTGAGAATGTCGCTTTACATGCTCACGTCATGGCAGTATGTTTGTTCATTTACGCAGTAATAAAAATGACGCAAGAACAAGATGTTGGGCTGCCGCATGGAGGAAGATGTTTTCGTCCTATAAAACGACGGGTGGTCAATAAAAATGTATGTTTGGGAAGTACTTTTATTACATTGTACTTAAAATACTACATCAAGGAGGACGAAGAAGAAGTGATTCGAAGTCGGTTGCGTTTTTGAGCCTCGCTCTTCTGGATCAACATTTTAATATTATAAGACGGTCTAAAACATTCCAACTTCATTCGTACGTTGCCTACTCCTGTCCACTTTGAGGTCGGCCGCACTGGGGCTTGCCCTGGTGCCCGTGAATCGACCATGGCCATGTCTACTGGGCCAACGCCACCTTCGCCACATTCCAGTCATCGCGCCTCCACTGATCAGTACAGTCTGCCTTCGTCCGTCTGTGGCAGCTCACTCGCTGAATCAGAACAGGACACACCCATGAATAGCGCAGAGGACATCACTCCAGGTCAGCAATGCGCTACAACCTCTTCGCGGCGAGTCATTGTGCCATCCAGTGACATAGAACTCTCCGATTTTGACGACTTGGATTGGACTGATGTCGCCAGGAAAAAGCGAAAAAAGAACAGCCCTAATTCCAGCCCAAGCGTTGAAACAGTCCGCAGTACTGCAGTAGTACCTGAAGGACTTACTGTTATATTTGCGCCAGTCGAGCACGGCCAAGTTATTACGTCGCTGAGCAGCCTGAGACTCTCCAATACTCTGGCGAAGACGTTCCCGGAATGCATCCTGGAGATCAGGTACAACAGCCGCCTCAATCTCGTTGCCGTGGACGTGAGAAACGGACAGACAACACGAGGATTGCTACGCTGCACAGAGCTCTGCGGAATCAAAGTCAGAGCATACGAGCCTCTCCCCAGACACTGCGCCACAGGTGTAATCAAAGATGTGGACACTACGCTGACCGACGAGGAGATCACCAACAACTTAAGATCTCCTGAAAACAGAGTTGCACGTTTGCGACGGCTAGGTAAAAGTTCGGCAATTAAGATCTCTTTCTGCGGATCTTCATTGCCAAGCTTCGTCTACCTTGGTCTTGTTCGGCATCCAGTTACTCCCTTCCAAGAGAAACCTGTCCAATGCCGCAAGTGCTGCCGTTATGGACACCGTGAGGCCTCCTGCAAGCACAGTCCTGTGTGCAAGCGCTGCGGTAACACGCACGAGGACAGGGACTCCTGCACTGCTCAAGAGAAGTGCGTAAACTGCAGAGCCGCTCACTCTGCTACATCAACATCCTGTTCTAAATGGCAGCAAGAAAAAAAGACGAGGAATTATGCCAAGGAACATGCAGTCGATTATTATAGTGCCAAAGCTGCAGTTCAAGCATCCGACTGGCCCGAGTTGCCCAGAAAAAGTGAAGGGTCTTCTTCAACAACGCAAGACACCTTGACTAGCACAACTGAAAACCAGCGGCCTGAGAGACCGACCTATGCTACACTAATCAAGCTGCCCAGAAAGGATAAACCAAAGGCACCTCTGACTAAAGAAGGGCCCAGTTCAAACGGAGCAAATCCACTCGAGGATCCAAAAACTACAGGGAGCGCGCCCACCGATCCAAGACAGCGCAGAACAACAAAACGGAGGACTCTGTCCGTTTCAACAGACACAGCTCAAAGCAAGGGGTGGGTCTTGAACCTTCAAGCAGCAGCAAACTTCGCCTGCAGGTTCTTGGAATCTGTTGATGCAGAATGGGCCCGCAGCATTCTTACACTTCTTCAACTGGCCCTTCCCCTTATTCGATCCTTGTAAATGTCGACCTGTATTCCCCCTGCATCCACCACACCACGGTCTTCTTCAGACCTCACGGTATGGCAGTGGAATTGCCGAAGTTTCCGAAAAAAACGCTGCAGTCTCATCCAGTATATCCAATCGCAAACTCCCCCACCCGACATCATCTTTCTACAGGAGCCTCGTACCCTTCCCAATCTTCCTGCATATGTCACATATGTGGCACACAATGATCCTGATAAAGACCACCTTGTGGCAACCCTAGTCAAGCGCGTTCATACCGCCGTCGACTTAACCTTCGACAGCCAGGCCGTTCCACATGTATTACTTGAACTCCTTCCTGCAAATCCACGCACGCGTAACACCCAATCCCTCCGTCTACTCAACATCTACAGCCTCCCTCAAGATCGTCATGCACGGTTTGACAAGTTGTTTGAAGCCGCACGCTGCAAGGGTTGCGCCACATTCATTGGAGGCGATTTTAACGCTCCACATCCAACTTGGGGTTACCCTCGTGACACACCTAAAGGCCGAAAGCTCCACACTCTGATTCAACAACAGAATCTCACTTTACTTACTGATTCATCGACACCCACACGTCTTGGAACCAGCGTTGCACGAGACACGTGCCCAGACCTTACCATGTACCGTGGCACTAAACACTGCACCTGGCAGAACCTTGAGGAACAGCTCGGCAGTGACCATTCGATTCTTGAAACCCGTATCCACACTAAAGACTTCACAGGGGAAGCACGCCACATCCGTATCACAGACTGGCCTGCCTTTCGCGCATCGTCCTCCTCTTATACCTCCTCCGACACACTCACCGATTGGGTGCAGGCACTGCAAACCCGGCTAAACCGACACACGCGCACCCTTACTACCACTCCAGATGCACCGGATATAGACTCCCACCTACTCCATCTGTGGGAAGCACGTCGTAGCCTAACCAAACGGTGGCGACGTCAACGCCGCAACAAGAGGCTAAAACTACGTATTGCCCAACTTACTGTTGATGCTGCAGACTATGCTACCAACCTTACTGGTGAAAACTGGCACGCGCTATGTGACAATCTCAATGGCACGCTCGGTACCGCACGAACGTGGTCCCTACTCCGTCACCTCATACAGCCCGGTCAAGCCAAATCGCACAGGGCCAAGGGCATTCATAAACTTCTACGCGCCACTAACCTAACAGACGCCCAATGCCTCACTCAGCTACGACAACGCTACCTTCCCCCTCCTGACGCTCCACGTTACGCGGACTACATGGGTCCCCCCAACACACTCCCTTATCTTAACGCACCGATCGCAGCAATTGAGATTCGCGCTGCACTGACCGACATACGCCGCAACACATCCCCTGGTCCTGACCAGGTCCGCTACTCTCTTCTCTACAACCTCTCGGATTCGGACACCACGCAGCTTACTACCTACTTGAACGAGGTGTGGGAGTCGGGTACCCTTCCCAAGGAGTGGAAGGAAGCAACAGTGGTTCTGATTCCCAAGCCTGGCAAACCCCTCTCCTTGGAGAATTTGCGCCCGATTTCTCTTACCTCGTGTCTGGGCAAACTGCTTGAGAAGGTTGTACAGCTTCGCCTCCACAAATTTCTTGCGGACACATCAGCTCTTCCTGACACCCTTTATGACTACCGTAGTGGCATTTCTACCCAGGACGTACTGCTCCGTCTCCAACATGATGTTTTAGACTCGCCGAGCACTGCTCAATATCGCGCCGTCCTTGCCGCAGATCTTAAGGGGGCCTTTGACAACCTCTCCCACGACCTGGTCCTTGAACAGTTGGCAGCCACTGGCTGCGGAGTGAAAGTGTACAATTACGTCCGCAATTTCCTCCGTGACCGATCTGCCAGCCTCGCCCTTGGTCATCTTCGCTCTCCTTCCGCGCCAGTGGCAAACCGTGGCACACAGCAAGGCTCTGTACTTTCTCCGCTCCTGTTTAACCTTGCCATGCGAGGTCTTCCTCCCCTTCTGGATCAGATCTCGGATGTCAGACATGCAATTTATGCTGATGACATTACTGTCTGGGTAACGAAAGGCTCCCTCGGACACATAGAGACTCAGCTACAAGAAGCCGCCACTACCATCGAGCACTACGCCCGGCGTGGAGGCCTCACCTGTTCTCCCACGAAGTCAGAATTACTAATCGTGACAAAACACGCTCGCGGACAGACCGACCTCCCCATTACCATCACATTAGACGACAAACCCGTCCCGCGTAAATCGGCCATACGGGTGCTTGGCTTTGTGTCACAATCCAACGCTAAAGCAACTCAAACCCTCCATCAACTCACCACCCAGTGCAACCAAATTATGCACATGCTTTGTCGCGTCTCAAATCGTCGACATGGCCTTAAAGAGGCGGATGCCCTACGCCTTGTCCAGGCCTTGATACACACTCGCTTAACCTACCACCTTCCTTACCACAACCTCACCCAGACCGAACACACTCGTATGTCTGTATTGCTGCGGAAGGCGCAGAAACTTGCTCTCGGCCTCCCTGTTCGCACAGCCACCGTTTGCCTCGAGAGGCTTGGGGTGACCAACACTCTGGAGGAGCTCATGGAAGCTCATCGGGCTGCCCAGTTGACGCGCTTGCGCTGCACGGCTCAGGGGCGGGCACTCCTTGCCACCCTTGGTTTTCCACCCTGTCCCGCTACCCTCGCAGCTGAGGGTCTCTCCCCCGCTGCGCGTGCCAGACTCACTGTGGCTCCCATCCCCCGTCATATGAATCCTACCCGCCACTCGGCTAGGCGCGACCATCGTTCGCGCTACCTCCGACGCGCGTATCCGGTAGGTTGCGATACCGTTCGTGCCCTCTTCACGGACGCCAGCCCACAGGGTGTGCGCGGGGGTATTACAGTTGTCGTGGACTCTGATCTCAGGACAGTCCACGCGGCCACTGAGCGTGGTCTTACCGACGTCTCCATCCTGGAAGAACGAGCGGTCGCCAGGGCAATACTTTCTACCTCCTTTCTTTCCTCCTCCATGCCCATTCACATTCTCACTGATTCGCAGACGACCTGTCGGCACTTCCTATATAACACCTTACATCCTTCCACTGCATCTTTACTCGACCCGTTCCTATCCTCCACCTCCCACAATTTCCGGCTGATATGGGTGCCTGGGCACGCAGCCGTCCCCGGTAATGAGCGCGCTCATGCGCTCGCCCGAGACCTCTCACACCGGGCGCCAGGGGAAGACTTTGTCAGCATCCAACCAGCCCCTTACTCCTACAGCACTCACCTTGCAGAGCTACGCCTCGCTCGGCAGCATTATCCGCCTCCTCACCCTTCCCTTACTCGCAGAGACGCCGTAATATGGCGACAACTGCAAACTAACACTTTCGCGACCCCCCTCTTCTACTCTTACCTCTACCCGTCACTCAGCCCGCCTCAGTGCCCGCACTGCGGCGACCGTCCCAACCTTTTTCACATGGTCTGGCAGTGCCGGCTCATTCCCGCCGTCCCACCCAATCCCAATCCCACCCCCACCTCCTGGGAGGAGCGGCTGACCGATGACACGGCCACTGGCCAGCAATCGCTGGTGGACCGCGCCAAGGCGGTCGCCGCCACATATGGGGCCCCGGACTAGGGGCTCCACCCGAGAGTTTGTCACACGTCGCTACAATAAAAGTTTATTCACTCACTCAAGTGGACTAAGAAAACTTGAAATTTACTTGCAGTACATTCTCCGATTATGTACTTGTACTTCACTTAAAGTAAGTTTCTGGTACATTTAGTGGAAAATGCAACTTCCGACTTCAAAGTACATTCCCCAAATTTGGTGTTGTTCAATTTGTATCACAAGAACAAGCTTTGTCAACTCTGAAGAAATGCTGGGAAGGTGAGTACTCCCCGAACTCTAACCAAAAAAAACAAAAAGTGTATCATCGTGTGAAATCGCGCTGTCGTCTTTCGAGACGTCATTTGGTTATTTCTCCAAGTGAAGAAATTGCGGCTATAAGACCGATACAAACATGCGCCTTTTTAGTTGATTGTGTTATATATTTAGTCAGCGAGGATAAAACAACTAGTTTGTGGCCATTTTGCTTTATTCATTCTTGGCCGCCATTTCCGAAAATAACTTATGCACCTCCAATTACCCTGAATAAGGACCTACGAATAAAAACAAAACACTGAATGAAAGGGTACATGAAAGGTTGCGTTAAAAAGTACTTATACCTTCCTTTGAAAGTACATTCTGATTTAGTAGTCTCTTTTAAATACATTGCGCCCAGTTCTCTCACTGCTTTACTTGTTGTACATAACCTCTCGGTTGCATTGCACTTTACCTCGAGTACTTTTTAGATGTACCTTACCAACACTGCACAAATTCCCCTTTGCCCTACTACTGTGACAAAGCCGGTACTAACACTGAGTATGATGTGGTCGTCAAGAAAACTGGGTCGCGTGGCACATGAAGAGGATGCCTGTGCCGCCTTTTGAAACGGGCAGAGCCTGGAGAGCCTCGTTCGCGTGGCTGATGTCTTGGAAACATTTCTTGGTTGCGACAGCTGGCTTCGCAGTCTTGTGTCGTGCACGATAAGCACGCGGGCGCTCTGAGGCTGTTTTGTTTGTGGATGCCAGGAGCTCTGAGACGCAGTCGACGGAACATACGAATAGCAGAACAAAAGGAACGCGCAGTTGCCGAGTCGAGTGAGCGTCAGCGCGCTGAGAAACTAAAGAAAAAGTAAACAGCAAGCGCGTCGGGCTGAAAGCGCGGAGTGCTCGCTCGTTTAGAGCGCGCTGTAATCAGACTCCTGACTGTTAACTACAAACTGTTATGGAATGCTATTACAGGTCACACAGGGTTAAATGTAATGAATTACCGTCAGTAATTACTTGTGTTAAAAGGTAATTGATTAATTTAATTGTTACGTAACAGATTACTTTCACGTTACTTTCCATCGGACGCTTTTCAAGAAATAAAAAAAATGTGATGTTTCTATAAATTCGTATTACAGCACCGCATTCAGTGTCTTACAGTGCCACATTATTGAGACCGTTCTAAGTAGTAAAGAATGAGAGCGATACATTTAATCTCATTCGTCGGTGGGAAAATAAAAAAAAAAATGCAGTAGAAGCCCTGCCTTCAGTCGGTGCACGTTGCCTCCCTTGGGCGGTTTGGTCGTGCACTCCTAAGATTTCGGGATATTATCGAAAATAAAAAGCAGAGAACTCAGGTTTGGCAGAGCTCTGGTTACGCTGGCGCTAAGTACAAGAAAGCATTTTTGAATATCAATCTCTCGTGCTCATGGCGTTCCCAAACCGGTGGCCATGAGTTCGTAGAAGGGCGTTTCATCGACAGATCGTTCCGTCGACACTGCGACGTTTCATCCAGAGTTCATTTCTTTGGTATTTGCTCGCGTTCATTCTGTTAACACACACTGTGACGTTTTCGTCGACAGCTTCCTTTGGTGCACATTGCATCGGAAACCGGTATCCTAAAGGTGGCCTAGCTCGCCATACCCTCGGCGGTAACTTCTGACGAGGCTTTTCGTAAGCCCGAGCCTGATATTAAAATTAAATTTTCCCACGGGAGAAGAGCGAAGCCCGGGGAGAGCTCTGGTTGGGACTGTGACAGAGTCGACATACACAGCAGAAAAAGTTTGCTCACTTACAAGAACTTAGGCAATTTATGTCTCCGCGCACACACGTACGAAAGCAGGAAAAATAATTAATCGCTCTACAGTCTGGTTGCGCGAGAAACAAACATGACTATGCGGACAAAAAAAAAATCAACGCAAACCATATTTTGAAGAAAAGAGAAGCAACGGGTGAATGTCCGAAACTTGGTCCGGGCGGCGGCTAGGATGGCGCTCTTCCACCGTCTGTTGAAACGAGAGAAGTCTTCATGTGCCTCGGTACTTTTGGTGGCTGAACGACAATCACCCACGCGCTCACACAACCGGAGGCTTGAAGCGGCGCCTCGATCTGTCCGACTTCTTCCCCGCGTTCCAACGTCCGGCGCTATTCTGTCACTGTGCCTCCTGTGCCCCCTCCCAGCTCTAATGACTTAAGCCTGGTTCAGATAGTTGCGTTTGACTGCGTTGCGGCTGCGAGAAACCAGGACACCCCTGCTGCTTATATCGCGTGCCAAGATGATACCTTGAATCGAATTCCAAGCTTCATACGAAGCACAGATGTGCCGGTGTCTCGCTTTCGGTTCTCGACGCAACGCAGTCAAACGCACTTAAACGCAAGTGTCTGGACCGGCCTTCAGAGTTGCTTTCACCCTGAGTATTTCGGGGCGCGAGCACTCACTATCGCGCAGTCCACGTAGGCTGCTAAGAACGACACTCTTGATAGTGCGAAATGCACGCTGCAAAAGAACGGTGTAAGCTGGCCATCAGCACGCGCTCAGCAGTCGCACACACAGCTATGGCCGCCATCTAATACTCCTTTACTCTGTTTCCCCTGACTATTAACTGCGGCATACTCCACGAACCGTCTCAATCAATTTAGCGCTGTGAACGTATACGTATCACGTGACTTCACACGCCCGTGTTGCTACACCCCTTCCCAAGGTCACATGACACTAACACAGCATTAGGACTTGCTCCGCTAGCTCGTAGCGGCCACTGCGATTCATCGCAAGGTGAAACGTAGTACGCAACCTATGGCCCATGATAGACATCACCATCGGCCATTTCTGTCAAGCATCCAAGACGAGGAAATAAGAGTGTACAACATACGGCCTAGCCTCCTTGGCGTACAGTGCAAGGGGTTGGCCAGCAACCAAAACCTCCTGCGCCAAAGGAAAAAAAAAAAAAAAACAGGAAAAACAGCAATACGTATTTCAAACACGACCAGTATTGTATACTTCAGTTTTAGTGATCGTATACATTATTATAAAAGTTACTAGAAATTACCAAGTTATGTGCTACTTAAATTTTGTAATTAAATTACGTTACTAATAACTGCTATAAAAATGTAATGTGGCAAATTAAAAAAAAATAGCCTAAAAAAGTTAAAAGTGTTTCGTTATTGTAACGGGTTACTTTCCAAATCTGAGCTGTCTCAACCAGGGCAAGACGCGCGGCTGGCACACGTATCCACCCGGGTAGTACACAGCGTCGACATTTTACGGGCCCTCGCGATTTCTGGATCCTCCTCAAGACTGAGAGACGATAGCGGTCAGCGGCAAGCCATGCAATCTATTCTGTTTTTAAACATCTTGTAAAGGAAAAAGGAGCGACAGGAAAGAAAAGATGCACCAGTAACCAAAGCTTGAAAAAAATGGAAGTTTATTAATCTGGATTCTTGTATGGTACAGGCACGAAAGTAGACTTGCACAGTCCACACACACGCGGTCTTGTCCTGTCCGCTTAATACACGAAGCCAGCGCAAGCTTTCTGTGGTCTCCGGTTGCGTATAGATGCTAAAAGACCTGTTGCCGTCGCCAAGTGTCCAATGCATTCCCAAAAATCTATACTTTGTTTGTCCTCAAATTCGTGCGCGGTCAAAGCCTATACGGACAGCAAATCGTCTGCTTCTTGCGCGGGGTTGCGGTGACGTCAGAACGATGCCGAGCTCTGATTGGGTATGATCGGGAGGATAGTGGGTAGACATCAATGCGAGTCGCCTTGAGGTATACCCACTATTTTTGTTTCGATCATCCACTAAAAGCCCAGCGTTCTGATATCATCGCAACACCTGTGCTAGAAGCAGACGAAGTTGCGCTCCGTATAGCCACTGGTAGCTTTACAGATGCAGGGCATGGCGAATTCAGAGCATCTTATCATCGCTCTGAAGCCAATAGATTAACGGCATTAGCCGATAAGAATGCCTACGAACCAATCACAAAGCGATAAGCGTGATCATAATAGGCCACACTCTGCTCTCCTTAAAGGGATGCTGAACCGAATATTTCAGTGCCTATAATAAGCGGCGCGCTATCTTTCCATGAGTCAGCAGCCGCCGGTGTGCGCGAGCACACGCAAACCGAAGTTGACGTCATCATATCCCCTATTCGCGCTTAATATGATGACGTCGATTTCGTTGCGTGTGCTCGCGCACACCGGGTGCTGAACCGAACATTTCAGTGCCTATATTAAGTGGTGCA